GATATGAAAGCTGAAAATAGCCGCTGGCGCTGGGAAAGGGAGGAAACAAGTGATCTTCTTGCAGCTATGAAGGAGTTTAAAGTAATGGACTTGCTTGATGGTAAAACGCGTCGGAACAAGAACATATATGTGTAATTTTTAGATCAAATTAATATAATATAAACTTTTATGTGAAATATACTTCTCTAAGGTTACAACAAAAACAGCGACCAAGTGAAATTAAAGTTTCGAACACTAAAAACTGAATATTTTAAAGCAAAGCGCACCAATATCCGAAGTGGTGCTGGAAGAAAAAATATGGAACACTTCCAAGAGTTCGAGGAACTGCTAGGCGATCGTCCTGTTGCGGCGGCTGTGGGACTGGATACCACTGTAGTGGAGAACGAATTCGAAATGGAAGAAGACCCACTAGAAGTAATCTTTGAAGAGACATTAGAAGAGGGAGCGCTAGCCGAAAGCTTGGTTGGAGATAGTGCTTCAACCGATTTTGCATCCGAGCCGCAGCACAACGTGGAGAAGGCTCCAAAGAAAAAAAAATAAGTTTTTGAAATCCATAACATTCTTTATGAAGCTAATCCGAAATAACTGTCATTGGCTTTTTAAGGAAACACTATCCAAACGGCATTGCTTGATATCGCTGCTGATTTTAAGCAATCGCAACAAACTACAATGGAAATGATCTGGGAGGAAAATGATGTATTTTTGGAAGAGAAGCGTCGGCTACTGCAGACTATCTCAGAGAAACAAAAGAAATAATGGCAGAGGATCGCAGAGAGACGAGAGAAATGTTGTTGGACACCCTCAATAGATAAACCTGACCATTATTTACTCGTAAATTGAATGCATACAGACTGCGAAAAAAGAATAGAAACTCGTAACTTTGATTCTCTTTTCTTTGTTTAATGTTCATTAATTTACATTTTTATAAAAGTATAGCTAATAAGGCCGATATAAATCCATGTCACAAACTTTGTGCGAAAATTGGAAAAATCAAAGCTTCATCAAATTTCAAATTTTAATTAGTATTTCTAGAAAATTTGGTATAAAGATGTGTAGCCTATTAAATTTTTGTACAATAAAGTACAAGTGAGAAGTTTCTTCGTGAAAATGCTTGACACTATCTGCAAAATAAATTATTAAAAATCAAAGAGATTTTTCACTAATTTCACACTTGTACTTCCAAACTTTCTAGACATTCTAATTGAAAAGTTTCAAGTTTTGAATTTTTCAAATCGGGCTTGTTAGCTATACTTTTATAAAAAATTAATTAACATTAAACAAACGAAATAAACTTATCGAAATGTCGCGTTTATATGGTTTTGCCGCAGGCGGTAAAAAGACTAGACTAAGCTCACAAATTTTGGGAAAATAAGCTTTTTTTTAACAACACTCAGGGCTATCACTGAATCCTTCGTAGTCTGAATTTTAGTCAAATCTACGAAAAAGCCTTTACTGAATCCGAATAGCTACGAACGAACCTTATACTTTGAATGCATACATTCGTACCAAATCGGATTCAGTGATCGCATTTTCGTAGATTTAACGAAAATCGAACTACGATGGATTGAGCGATAGCACAGATTTATAACTAAACCCGAAGACTAAATAGCTGTGCCTAATAATTTTAGTTTTTTGAATGAATTGGAATTTAATTTTAATATTTATTTATTATAATGTATTGAAGTGAATAATACCCACAAACATTGAAATAAGCCCATTTATTAATCAATATTTACCAATCTTTTTAAATAACAACTTTTTTTGTTTTTGAGAAATGAATTTTCCAAATACATATGTAGGTAGGTATCTACCAACACTTTTTCGAAACTCCGTTTTTCACATTGTGAAAAGACAAAGACATTATAAAAATGTTTGCCTCTTTTCCTTTCGTTGTTTTAATATTATTCTTTTATGAAAGTATAGCTCACTATCAAACATTTATAAATGTTCGAGAAATTTTAAAAATGTTAACTTATTCAAAATTTTTAAAAGAAAATTCTTGGTATGCAGTTTTGTTGAAGGTGTCTCCACACAAAAAAAATGTCGAACATACTTTGTGTGGAAGAACCTTACTTTATGCTATACTTTATAGTTTCATAAAAAACAATAAGCTTGTCCCTTCCCTATATATATTTTAGCCACCGTACATATATATGTACGTTAGGGTGGTCCTTAAATGTAGGAAGCAAGTTTTACATCAGATTTCCTAAGGCTCAACCCCTACGTCGATGCTACTGTAAATTTTGGTCCCGATTGGAGACGGTTAAGGCGTCTTCATAGTGTAATCCGAATTTTGTCCCCTAAACGACACGCCTTAACCGTCTCCAATCGGAACCAAAATTTATATGTGATATCTGTGATCGTGGTATTACCGATTGAGTGGTTTAGACTGAAAAAAAACGTTCATTTGATTTTTTAAGGACCACTCTAATGTACATATTTAGATCGATTCTTGCTAATCAGCTCTAGTTCTGATTTCACGCAACGGAAAATTATTTGCCAAGTAGTTTTTGATGTTGTCTCTTATATGTTTTGGATCGAAAGATTCGTCAGAAATAATTCTTGTGCATGTCAATTCTTGTGCAGGTCAATTCTTGTGCAATGTCAGCAGGCTGAGAGTAAATATTAGCAGTATCCTCGTAGTAATTCCTCCTATTGAAATAGGGTTCATTTTGTTTCTCACAAAAGTTGTGAAGAACTGAACACGCTACCACAAGTTTAGGAACCATATCGATGGAAATATCTGTGCCTTCCCTTGAGCCTACCAAAAGCGTTTTCCACACACACACGCGCAGAGCTCAAGTTGTAGTTGAATGATTCCTCCCTATGTGTAACTGAACCGGTATAGGGTTTTAATAGCCACGAAAGCAATGGATATGCTGGATCTCCTACCAGCATTAGGGGTGTACTCACGTCATTAATCATGGTAGTGTATTGTGGAATTACTTGGGATGCATGTATGTAAATACCAGACTCCTTAAATACTGTCGCATCATGAACACTTCCAGGAAACTTAATGCTTACATTTCTAAACCTAGAGTAAGAAATGCCACATTACAATTTAATCTTATATATAAAAATAAGTGCACGTTTTTGGTGTGACCTCATAACTTGAGAACGGCTTCACCGAATTCAACCAAATTTATGTGGCATATTCGATCTATCATGCAGATGGTTTATGCATTCGGAAAAGGGGGCGTGGCACCACCCATCTTATATATAAAAATAAGTGCACGGTTGTGGTGTGACTTCATAACTTGAGAACGGCTTCACCGAATTCAACCAAATTTATGTGGCATATTCGATCTATCATGCAGATGGTTTATGCGAAGTTTGCCCGATTTAGGAAAAGGGGGCGTGGCACCACCCATACTATCTAAAATATAAAAATAAGAGAACATTTTTGGTGTGACCATATAACTTGAGAACGGCTTCATCGAATTCAACAAAATTTATGCGGCATATTTGGGCTATCATGCAGATAGTTTATGTGAAGTTTGCTTGAATTCGGAAAGGCGGCGTGGCGCCTCTATTTTATATATACAAATTATTGAGTTAGCTTATAACTTGAGAACGGCTTCACCGAATTCAACCAAATTTCCAAGCATTTTCGGGCCATCATGCAGATATTTTATGTGGAGTTTGCCCAAATTTGAAAAAGGGGGCATGGCATATGTATCTTATGTATAAAAATAAGTACACGTTTTTGGTGTGAGCTTATAACTTGATAACGTCTTCACCGAATTCAACCAAATTTCCAAGCATTTTCGGGCCATCATGCAGATATTTTATGTGGAGTTTGCCCAAATTTGAAAAAGGGGGCATGGCATATGTATCTTATGTATAAAAATAAGTACACGTTTTTGGTGTGAGCTTATAACTTGATAACGTCTTCACCGAATTCAACCAAATTTATACGGCATATTCAGGTTATCATCCGGATGGTTTATGTGAAGTTTGCCCGAATTCGTAAAAGGGGGTGTGGCACCTCCCATACTAAATAAAATTTTTACGTTGTATATCTCTTGAAATATTTGTGGGAGAGTACTGGAAATTGGTATAGAGGTATATATCAAATAATTCCATTCTCATGGAGAAAAATGGGTGGTATTGGAAAAGAGGGCGTGGCACCTTCCATCTTATATATAAAAAAGAAGTGCAAGATTTCAACCAAATTTATATGGCATAGTCGGGCTATTATGCAGATGGTTTGTGTTAAGTTTCCCCGAATTCGGGTATGGCACCACCCATACTAACATAAATTTTCATCTGGGTTTTCTCTTGAAATATTTGTGGTAGATTACTTGAATTGGCATAGAGACATATGAAATAATTCCATACTTTCCATCTTAAATAAAAAAATAATTGCACGAATTCTACCAAATTTAAATNACGAAAAATTTGGTTTTTTGCGTTCCTTGACTTTTCCTGTTATTCTCTTTTAGTGAGCGCATTTTGCTTACGCTCTGTCATTTTGACACTTTTCAGATTTTAGTCCAAAAAGATAAGGAATGAACCTATAGTGAAAGTTCTTGCTATGATGTGCTGGGTTTATTTTTTCTTTGGATAAATTAAGTCAAGTATAAACATGGCTGCAATATAGTTCTCAATTAGTACTTGATTTTTTTCTTAAACGTATAGGATTTAAAAACAGATTGTTTTATTTCAACCCGGCCTTGAGCTCAAAAAAATCAATATAATAATCAATTGAATTTATTTCAATAATTTTGCACAAATTTGTTGCATCATTTCGTACGAAAAGTTTCAAAACGTAATGGAAAATTGTTGCTATAATGTGCTGTTTTTATTTTTTCTTTGGATAAATTAAGTCAAGTATAAACATGGCTGCAAGTTTTTCAATGGGGATTTTGTAGAGCAAATGGAATGGAAGTCACCACAACACAACATATCTGTCATTTCATCGTATTTTCGAATAGGTGGTGTACATTGATATTCGGTCTTTCTATTTTGGACTTTGAAGAATCAATACAATGCAGGATTTACGTGGAAATCAACAGCTTTGTATTATTGCCAGGTGACTTTCGACAAACATTGCCCGTGATTCCACGATCAACACCGGCAGATGAGATCAATGCATGCTTGAAGTCTTCCCCTCTGTGCAAATATGTGCAAAAATTGACATTACACATAAACATGCGTGTTCAGTTGCACAATAATCGATTTGAAGATCGGTTCTCGAAGCAATTATTAGAGATCGGAAATGGCAAAGTTCGAATCGATAGTACAAATGGCTTGATTACATTGCCGAAGAATTTTTGTACAATTCTCCAATTAAAATAAAAATTTATTGAATGCGTGTTTACAAATATTGCTAAAAATTACCTGTATCACGATTGGTTGAGAGAACGCGCAATACTGGCACAAAAAATGTGCATGTCAATTCAATCAATTATCAAATTCTAGAAAAATTGCCAGATGAAGTGACAACATATAAATCTGTTGACAGCGCAATGAATCAAGATGCCGCATTGAATTATCCAGTTGAATTTTTGAATTCAATGAAACCGCCTGGTATGCCACCACATTGTTTGAATTTAAAGGTCGGCTCATCAATTATTTTACTACGGAATTTAAATGCTCCAAAACTGTGTAATGGCACAAGACTGGCAGTAAAAAAATTGATGGCGAATTTAGTTGAAGCAACAATACTGACTGGCAAAGGGAAAGGTGAAATTGTGCTCATACCACGTATTCCACTGATAAAAACAGACATGACGTTTGAATTTATGCGTTTGCAATTCCCAGTGCGTCTAGCATTTGCCAGGTCCGTCAACAAGGCGCCAGGACAAACTCTTTAAGTATGCGGATTGAATTTGGAGGAGCCGTGCTTTTCGCACGGACAGCTATACGTGGCCTGTTCAAGAGTTGGCATTCCAAACTGTTTATTTATTCATACCCAAGATGGAAAAACAAAAAATGTTGTATATCCAAATGTGTTGGATTAAGATTTAAAATAAAGAATCAAACATTTTGAAACAAAACAAATGATAAATCTTCATATAGAAAAATTCCAGGATTTTTCATTAAAATCTTATGAAATTTATTTACTTACATATATTTGTCGTCCACAATAGCCTGCATTACCACCGATGGCCATCCTTTGCGATTATTGTAGTCCAAATATCCTTTAGAAGGTGGCAAAACGGGAATATGTGAACCTATTCAAAAATTTCTATATATTATTTTAAGACAAGGCGCTTATCCCCAGCGATCTACTAATCGTATAGAGAAAAGTTATATATCAAAGTAAAGTGCTCGATCTGAAACTTTGCATAAAGTTTTCAGATTAATATTTGATATTCATTTTAAGTTCTTACATTGAGCAAAGCGTTACGTTTATTTAGATATGCAAATAGTCAAAAGTGATTATAATATAAAGTAAAAATTTAATTAAAAATGTGGTGGTCGCATGTCGAGCATACTGGTAATCTTTATGTGTAATACTTGCCTACTAAATATTAATTTTCACCTACCATCTATTCTACCTATCTTAGCGATTTGAAGAGATTCCCCCAAGTCGGGAAATTTTATAAAGTCCTTGGTAAGTTTTAAAATAGACTCCAATACTATGTGGAAGTATTTGTGCACAGTAGATTTATGAACTCCAGAAACATCTCCTACCACCCGATATTCGGCACATGAAGCTAATTTGTATAAACAAATGACGATTTGCTTTTCTGGTGCAACAGGAATAGTCAAGTGAACCTTCTGTTTCGGCAAGTGAGGTTCAATCAAAGTACACAATGTTTGATATGACGATTTTGACATATGCATCGATCCAAAATAAAGTTCCTCATTTTGTGGCTCTTTAATTAATATCCAGTAATGTTCACTCCTTGGGCGGGCTTTAAATCTTCGTTCTATGTGCCTGTTGGAAACAGCAACCGCGATCGCAAATAAATAATAATAATAATAAATAATGATCAGTATTAATGGTGTTTAGAATGCTTTGGAGTCTGAAATTTCTTTTTTCACAGGCCGCCAGAAAGCCTAATTGCTTTTCTTTTAGGTTTTTATGCAATATTCGCTTTCGCTTTTGCAGTAATTGTATTGAAAGGACAGTAATAATTTCCGAGTCGACCATTATAAAATTTTTATTAAAACATATGTTAGTCTGTTCCAGTACCCTTCAGACTTGCCGAATTATACGGTAACGACTTCTGAATAAATCCAGTAAATCCGACGGGTACTGGAACAGAGTATGCACATCCATTTGCATAAGTGTGGCCATATTATGGTCTTTGTGGCAACAACACTGAATAAGAATTCCCCACTGCCATATAAACAGTGAGTTAGGTATTTGCACATTATTTTTATTTGCAAATAGCTTACGTATAAACATAGTATATATATATTTGATTGTGCGGCGCTTTGTTGCAACCATTTTGTCAAGGAGTTTTAGTTAATATCGTGTTTTTTGTGTGAAATAGCGCCGAGAAGTTAGTTTAATTTACAAACTTTAACTACAAATAACTTGAAAACTATAAGCCTCCCGGAGCTAAAAACTATATATTTGCATTCAGGAGCACTCCCTCTACCCCCCCCTAGAGCCTACATAATTTGGTACCCTTGGGATGCCAAACTAAAATTTTCCCCACATTTCAACTAAATTAAGATCTTTGAACGTTTATCTATTTTATATTTTAGTATTGTTTAACGATGAGGATCACGTTAATAAATTGGTTTATTTCCATTAGAGAACCGAAATAGTATGTATGTGTGTATGTATGTATGGACAATGACCAAAACGAATATGACCGCACGTGTGAGTAACGTGTTGCCAGAATACGTCTCAAAATATGTTGCCAGATGTTCAAAGCGTAAGAATATTGTGGCGAATACTGCGGCAACACAAAGCGAACAACGAGAAATAGGCAGAATGTTCGAAGAATGACGTAGAATGTTCCACAAAGAGAAACGTCAAGTTGGATGAACACTGCGAACAGCGAGAGAAAGAGAATGAGCGATAAACTTCAGAATGTTCTAGAGTTGCCATAAGTGCCAGCGCAGGTATATAAGGGCGCCGCCACCACGAGGTGAGTTAGTTACAAGTCAGCAAGCTACAAGTAAAGTGAGCGGAGAATTGAGTTGCGAATAAGCAAGCTATAAGTTTAATTGTGTTAACAAGTAGTAAAGCGTTGTTATTGCTTTAACAAGTATTGTAAAGTGTTTTTACTGTATTAGCAAGTATTGTAAATTGTTTGTTGTACAATAAAGTTAATTGTACTACAATTTGGTAATCGTTAGCATTTATTTAACAATGCAGCGATACGACCCCGAGTATATTTGGGAAATCCCTCAAGGTTTCGAGGATAATCGTAACAATATTATAAAGGGGCATATGATAAGTGCTATTTTATTATGAGTTTAATAGCAATTATGAGTATTATCTACGCAGAATTCTTGTTTTTGTGTTGCCTTGTCAAGTGCATAAAACACTTTCCGACAAGGTGGTATTTTTGACGTAGAACTCTTTCTGCGTAGGAGGCTTTCGGCCGCGCTTAGGGATTATAACGCCTACTACACAGAATTCTCCTTTTTGTGTTGCCTTGTCAAGTGTATAAAAAACCTTCTGACATCGTAGTATTTTTGGCGCAGAACTCTTTCTGGGTAGGCGGTCTTCGGCCGCGCTTACGGATTATAGCCCTCATAATGTATAATTATCTTTCCGTGTTGCGAAAAAAATGAGCAGAAGTATTTTTGAGCACAACTTCTTTATGCGTAGGCAACCTGCGTCCGCGCTTAGGGATTATAAGCCTCACAAAGTAGAACTCTTTTTCTGTGTTGCGAAGAAAATGAGCGGAAGTATTTGNTGGACGAGGTAAGAATGAAACGTCACTAGCCAGATAAGTTAAATAATAAACAATATTGTGCAATTATTTACCAAGGTGCGTTCATGGATGAATGCGGATAAACTGATAAATTTAAGCAATTTATCCCTTTATCACTTTCGATGAAGGCCCCTACTATTTCGGTTCTCTAATGGAAAGTAAGCAAATTTATAAACGTGTTCCTCTTCGTTAAATGAAATTAACAAAATATAAAATAAATAACAGTTTAAAGTGCTTACCTTAGCTGAAATGTGTGTATTCTGTAGACTTGAATTTGTTTGAAATGGTTTGTTATCGTACATTTTGTTAGGTGAAGTTTGCAACTTTAACAACAAATTACTCGTAAAATATAAGTTTCCTCGCCGTCCGGTTTTCACTTTTGTGATTTGCACGACCCCCTCTACACCCCCCATAAAGTCATTTTGTTCTAACCGTGGTACACTCTCGCCAAGAAAATCCGATA